TGTCCTCCCCCCTGCCCCCCCCCCCGCCCCCAGCTTTTGCTCATGGAGAAACTTAAAAAAACACAATTTTAAAAAGCAAAAGATTGAAACATACCTAACTTCTTTTTTTAAATTTTATTCATTCATTATTATTATTACTTTAATTTGCTAGAGTGCACATGTGCTCACCAGAGAGTGACAGAGAGAAAGTGAGAAAGCAAGCTACCGGGTTTGGAACTCGAACCGTGGTCAGACATGTGAAAGTCCAGTGCCTTAACCATCATACCACCTGCTGGCCTTCCAACTTCTTTATTAAAAAGGAAGAAGAAAAAGAACAAACATGCAGGAGTGTTTACAGAAGAATCCTGGCACAGCTCTTGAACCAAGTAACCTACCATTTGAGGACTGCTCAATTACTGCTGATCCATCTCCAGGCATGGTCATCATACTGTGAACAGGAAGTATCCTGAGCTAGTTATCTCACTATGAAGTGACCAATCAGAAACCAAAGTGTGGAATGTTCCCATAGAGTCAGGAAGAGTGTGAGTCATGCCTTCCTGCATCACTGAAGCAAGCCATGTGTCGATTTTTTAAGCATTTACCATAAATGGATCCCTGCATCACCATCTGTTCACTTTTGTACAGGAAATACTAAAAGACCATTCTTGGCGTATGAATTTCCAGTGTGTATCTTTTGAGATGACTAAAAACGAGTCCAAAGAAATGGGCATTTTCCCTCATGAACTATACTTGGAATAGTGCTAAGTCAGTCGCTTTGTGAGCTGGCCCATTTTCAGGGACTGGTTTTATCTCACAAAACTCTGAAAATCCTATCATAATCCTAAAGTGTGGATGTTGACTTTGAAAGTCCAATTCAAATGATCAATGTGTGAAACAACACATAAAATCCTTCCCATTGGGTACAATGAAAATACTAGAGAAGAGCAGTTATTTTGCAGAGGAAATGCCAATAAAATCATATAATAATATAATATTCATTCTCTCCTTTGATATGATGATCCACTTTCTGACACAGACATTTACGTTTGTGACACATGATATTGTCTTCTTATGCTATATGCCTTTTTAAAAATAAATGCCAAAATTACACAGACTAGAAGGCCTGCCTTCTGGGAAGAGCTGACATATACAAGTATACCTTGCTTCTGTGCAAAACAGATCTCTCTTTAAATGGTAAATGGCAAGTGTTCTACCTTTGAACTATATATATATATATATATACCTCAAACTTATGACATTTTAGAAAGAAAAACACAATGAGGAAAAAAATTATAGTGGTGAAACATGAATAATTAGCTTATTTTATTTTGAAATAAATGTTTTGTCTTCTAACTGCTGGTTTCACTCAATGGCACATTAATAAAAGGTCACAGTTCTTTAAAATACAATATTTTAGCATTATTCCAGGTCTAGAGATGAAAGAAAATAACCAAGTTTGCATATGGGGGGGGGAGTAACTTTAGGTTTTCTTTGTATGATTTTGCATTCTGAAAAATCTACAATTTCAAATCAATAATAAACTCTCTCTTGGCTCATGAATATTTGCTTTTACAGAGCCTAGAGGAGTTAATAACTGCTTGCAAAATGTCCAGAAAGAGAGATTTAGAAATCTGGGAAGATGAGCACCTGCATCTGCTAAACAAATCAGAGGCACCCTGCCCCCTGGTGGACTGTTTCAGGGTGAGTTTTGATGAAAGATGCAGAAGGTTTACTTCTTACATTTCA